TGCATGTTTTGGGGTCCCTGTGATATGTTTTATAATACTGTATTTCTCTGCCTGTGATAATTATATTAACCATTGTGTTCAGTAATCATATCACAGGCAGAGGGGAGGATTTTGTGTGGGAGTGTCTGTGTGTATTGTACGGATTGATTGGTTGTATTTCAAAACCCTGTAGGCAGTACTATATTTGTGGATTGTGAATAAAAGAGGCTGTATGTGCCAGTACAGTCAGTTCTGCTTGACCTCAAAACGAAGTGTCGTCTCGTTATTGGGGGAATTGGATTGTAAGCTGATTGCCAGGAGTGTAAGCTGATTGTATGCTTTTCCTGTTCAGCTGTTTACAGCATTCATATGCTTGAGAGCATTCGTATGCTTCTCCGGTTCTGTGGTTGAGGTGTCTGCTGCAGTGCTTGGAGTCCTCAGGAAACGCTAAGAGCATCCTTCAACGGCGGTGGGTGGGGGCCCTAAAATACTAATTAGGGGGGACCTAATGTCCTCTCCCCTGGCCCCCGACCCCTGAGTCGGCTGTTCAGTGCGCATAACTATTCCAACCAATTGGTGGGACTGCACAGACCCCACAGCCAGGCAGGAGATTACACATCACTCATCCTACACCTGTAATTTAACATCTAGGGATCTACATGAAGTGTCAGACATATGCTCTCAATAATGGTAACTACCTTAACAAGCTACTTTGTACCACAGACATTGCTGCATCTACTTTGTTAACTTCATCAAACTGCAGCACCTTATTCAGAGGACACTGTAGAGACCTTTACTTTGCCAGCTGGTCCATGGTGACGAATATATCAGGGCCCCTTAAAAGGCTAATGTCGACTCAAAACTCTTAGGTTGGCAGGTTATATCACACTGCATCAGTGTGTGGTTTATTGCTAAACACAGTTGCTATCAGAGGATCAGTGTTATACAATGTTACTTATTGGTCTCCACTTGGTTACCTTGTGTTTAGGTATATATGTATATGTGTGAGTATTTATTGTGAATAAATTGGAGACGTCCAACATCCTAGCATTTTAAGAAGAGGGGGCAGGGGCTGGGGAGGTGGGGGGCAGGAGCTGAAAGGGGGACAGGAGCTAAAACGGGGGACAGGAGCTAAAAGGGGGGGACAGGAGTTGAAAAGGGGGACAGGAGTTGTGGGGGGGTAGGAGTTGAATTGGGGGGGCAGGAGCTGGCACATGGGCTGTAAAGAAGGGGGACAGGGGCTGTGGTGGGGGCTTAGGTGTGTAGAGGAGTGCACAGGAGTAGTGGTGGGCTGCTTAGAAAAAAATAAAAAAAAGTATTACCCCCCTTCCTGAAGCTTACCTTGGGCCAGGGAGGGGGGACAGGGTCTGTAGCCTTGAGCTGCCTGGAGCCTGCAGCCAGTGATGTCAGCCAGCCCCTTCTGATGTCAGGAGGAGGGGGCGTGACTTACACTGCTCTTCTCCCAGACTCCCCAGCGGTCTGGGAGAAGAGCAGTGGATGTCACACCCCCTCCTCCTGACATCATCAGGAGGGGCCGGCCGACTCCACTGGCTGCAGGCTGCAGGGACAGTGAGGTGAGTTGAAAAATCAGAGTCCCCAGCCAGAGGCAGGTGATTCGGATTTTTGCGCCCCCCTGCTCTGGCACCCTAAGGCAGCCACTTGTGCCACCTTATGGAAGCACCAGCCCTGACTGGAGGCAGTAAATGCTTCTCTTATTCTAAATGAGTCTTATAAGCATGTGTACATATAACATGAACTTTGCTGTGGTAAGTGTGGTACCGAGCAATGATAGTGGAGATCGGGATAGGAAGCGTAGATAGTGTCTAAAACCTTTACAGGACACCATTTGTTGTGAGAAGCAGGGCCGGACTGGGAAAAAAATTAGGCCCGGGCATTTTTCAATTAGAGCGGCCCCCCAAAAAGGGGGCGGGGCCAGAGAGGGTGTGTTTGTCATCACTAATGACAAGTACACCCCCTCTGAAAGTGAGCATGTTGGTTCAATGCGCAGAGCCCCGCTGAAGAGCTCTAGCATTAGAAAAAGGCCCTGTATTTGTTCTGCGCAGCGCAAGCAAATGTAATAACATGCTTGCGCTGTGTTTGCTTTTAAATTGTCTCTGGTGTCTCCACAAGTGGGATACCAGAGGACAAAAGGGCCAGGAAAGTGTATGGTGCATGTGTTTGGCGCATGCTTGTGGGATTGCCTGTGTGTAGAGTGTGGTATGGTATTGTGTAAATAGGTCAATTTTGTGGTGTAATATGTGTGGCTAGGGGCTGTAGAGAGTGCGTGTATAGGGGCATAGTGTTATAGGGGATGTAGCGAGTGTGTGCATAGGGGCAGTAGTGTGTGTGTTTAGGTGACGTAGTGTGTGTCACTTATACACACACACTACTGTGTGTAGAGAGGGTGTGTTTAGAGAATGTTGTATGTGTTTGCAGTGTGTGTGTAAGAGATCTAGTGTGTAAAGGACCCAGAGTGTGTATAGAAGATTGTGTGTGTGTGTATAGAGGATTAAGAGTGCATATAAGGTAAGGGATCTAGCGTGTATCTGGAGCGTAATGTGTGTAGTGGTGCAGTGTGAGGGGTGCTGTAGTGTGTGTGTGTGTGTATAATATATTTGGACGTATTGTATGTGTGAGGTGCGCAGCGTGTTTGTGTAAGAGGAGTGCTGTGTGTGAGGATGTTTTTATCTGCCGTCTGGGTTTCTAATTTTGTCTGTTAACTCACTGAAGGTTATTTTATATAATATATATGTGCTGTATGTGTGTGGGAGTGAGGGTGCTGTCTGTCTGAGGGTGTTGTGTGCGTCTGTGGGGTGCTGTGTGTGTGTGTCTGGGGGTGCTGTGTGTGTGTGTCTGGGTGCTGTGTGTGTGTGTCTGGGGGTGCTGTCTGTGTGTGTGTCTGGGGGTGCTGTGTGTGTGTGTGGTTGCTGTGTGTGTGTGTCTGGGTGCTGTGTGTGTGTGTGTCTGGGTGCTGTGTGTGTGTGTGTGTGGGGGTGCTGTGTGTGTGTGTCTGGGGGTGCTGTGTGTGTGTGTGTCTGGGGTTGCTGTGTGTGTGTGTCTGGGTGCTGTGTGTGTGTGTGTCTGGGTGCTGTGTGTGTGTGTGGGGGGGTGCTGTGTGTGTCTGGGGGGGCTGTGTGTGTCTGGGGGGGCTGTTAGGGTAATTATTTTAAATATATATATTTTTTATTTTATTAATAATTATAATAATTAGTAATTATTAATAATTTTAAAAAAAAAAGTTATGCCCCCCCTTCTTACCTTTAGCCTGGGAGGGGGGGGAGCCGTGTTGCCATGAGGGGGTGGGGGGCGCATGCTGTCATGCTTCCCTGGTGGTCCAGTGTTGAGAGTGAACTCCAGCCTGCAGGCTAGAGTTCACTCTCGCGAGATCTGAGCGTTGCCGTGGTAACCGCGGCAACGCTCAGAATCCCGCGAGAGGACCCGGCGGAGCTGCTTGTTAGAGCTCTGCCGGGTCCTCTCTCCTGCCTCCCTCCTTCCCTAGCCTGCGGCCGCCTGTGATCTCCCCACCGGCCCACCGGCCTCTCTCCTGCCTCCCTCCTTCCCTAGCCTGCGGCCGCCTGTGATCTCCCCACCGGCCCATGGAGGCACACAGCAGGGCCGGCGCTCGGGTAGCGCTGGCCCTGCAGGGGCCGGCCGGGGAGATCCTGTGATCTCCCTTGCTGGCCTCGGCCCCACGGCCATCGCGGCCCACCGGGCATTTGCCCGGTATGCCCGATGGCCAGTCCGGGCCTGGTGAGAAGTGTAGTAGGGGATATCGACAGGTTGATCCATTTGACTTGTTTTGGAGTGAGTTAGGTTGTGATCGTGAGAGTAGGTAGTGATTGTTAAGTTTTGTGAAATGGGACCTGTTTAGATAGTCAGTGTTGATTGAATTTATGGCGGTGAATTCTCTGGATATATATATATAGATATATATATTTGTGTTCGGGGCCATTTCAGTATAGTATGAAATAGCTAGAGAACATACTTATCACAACAATGAAAAGTCAGTAGAGGTGTGCCGAAACAGACGTATGTGGTAGGCCTGTAAATAAGTGGGCCTACCTTAAATAGTAAAAACCAAAGAAAAGAAAAAGTACCTGCGCTCTCTCCTTCATCCCTATGTATATTTAGACAAATGGAGGTCATTTAGTTGCTCCAATGGCCATTGGAGGGAATGCCCGCCTGCCAACGTCAAGGCAGACCCCCTCCCCAAGCGGGTCCTAACACTGACCCTTCAGCCTGCTTCCTTGAGCTTCTGGCAAAGATAACTCTAATGAGACAGAGAGGGGTATTTTTTATATACACCCCTATATGCTTATTAACCCTTAATAGGGAACACGTGGGATGGGCGGCAGCATTGTAACAAGGCTGTGTGATACAAAGTAAATACAAATACAAAAAGAGAAGTAATGCGCTCACTCCCATCACTACTGGGCCAGCAGCAATGACTACAGTACACATCAGCCAGTGGCGTACATACCAGGGTCGCAGGTATGTACACAGTGGGCCAGCCTCTTCCCCTGGGGGGCCCAGGAGGCGGCCACCCCAGGGCCCCCCGAGGCTGGCCCTGCTGACCCCAGCGGGCAGGTGGCCGGTCGGGCAGGCGGGCGCGCGAGGGAGCACTCAGTGCTTCTTCTTCAGCTCCCTCGCGCACCGCACTGTTGCCGGAGCCGGAAGATGACGTCATCTTCCGGCGCCGGCATCCCTACGCAGCGCGCGAGGGAGCTGAAGAGGAAGCACTGAGTGCTCCCTCGTGCGCCGGCCGGCCAGGCAGCCCGCCCACCCAGTGACCTGCCGCCCAGGAGCCCAGCAGCACCACTGGACCCCAGGGAATCCCCCCAGCACTCCGAAAGGGTAAGGAGGCTGGGGGGATTAAATTTGAAAAAAAAGTGTGTGTGTGTGTGTGTGTTAGAGTGTGTGTGTGTGTGTGTGTGTGTGTTAGTGTGTGTGTGTGTTAGTGTGTGTGTGTATGTGAGTGTGTGTGTGTTAGTGTGTCAGTGTGTGTGTTAGTGCGTGTGTGTCAGTGAATGTGTCTGTTATTGGGTGTGTGTCTGCTAGTGAGTGTGTTACTGTGTGTGTCTGTTACTGAGTGTGTTTGATGTCTGTTAGTGAGTGCGTGTTTGTCAGTGAAAGTGTATGTTTTGTAAGTGAGTGTGTATGTATGTCTGTCGCTGAGTGTGTCTCTGTCAGTAAATGTGTGTGTCTGTTAGCTAGTGTGTATGCGTCTGTTCGTGAGAGTGTGTGTCTTCAGCATTTACCTTTCTCCAGCGTCGGACTCCCCAGTGTCCGCCACTCAGCTCCGAAATGCACATGCGCGGCAAGAGGCGCGCGCGCGCATTTAAACCACCCATAGGAAAGCATTACTCAATGCTTTCCTATGGACCTTCAGTGTCTTCTCACGGTGATTTTCACAGTGAGAATCGTGGAAGCTCCTCTAGCAGCTGTCAATGAGACAGCCACCAGAGGCTGGATTAACCCTCAGTGAAACATAACCGTTTCTCTGAAACTGCTATGTTTTCAGCTGCAGGGTTAAAACTAGAGGGACCTGGCACCCAGACTACTTCATTGAGCTGATGTGATCTGGGTGTCTGTAGTGGTCCTTTAAGTGTGTGTGAATACCGCGGTCGCGGGGTCGCAGCCCTGCAACCCCTGCAACCAGGTGCCCGCCACCATGTGTTGCGACCCCGACCCGCGCCAAGTAAGCGTGGGGGGGGGGGGCCCACGGATCAATTTTTGCACCGGGGCCCCATGGGTCATGTGTACGCCACTGACATCAGCCCCAATATATAGTAAAAACCAAAGAAAAGAAAAAGTTACCCGCGCTCTCTCCTTAATCCCTATGTATATTTAGTAGGGATCGACCGATATTGATTTTTTAGAGCCGATACCGATACCGATATTCCGTGAACTTTCAGGCCGATAGCCGATATAATTTGCCGATATTCTGTACATTTACCATTTTGGAAAATAAAAACTATTTCTAAAGGTAAATGCACAAAATATACATGCCACGTGTAGTGGATACAGTGTGTTTAGACAGGGGAGCTGTATGTGTTTGTGTAGTGGATGCAGTGTATGTTTGTGTAGTGGATGCAGTGTGTGTTTGTCTAGTGTGTAGTGGATGCAGTGTGTATTTGTCTAGTGTGTAGTGTGTGTATATAATGAAAGCAGAGTGATTGTGTAGTGTGTGTAAAGTGAATGCAGTATATACTAAATGCAAAGTGTATGTTTATATAATGCAGAGTGTGTGTGTTTGTATAGTGTGTGTGTATATATAATGCAGTGTTTGTGTAGTGTGCATTATATAAACACACTATGCAAACACACACTGCATTAATTATATACACACACTAAACACACTGCATTATATACGCACACTACACACTGCATTATACACACACTACACAAACACTGCATTGTATACACGCACTGCATTATACACACACTGCATTATATACACACACTACACAAACAATGCATTGTATACACACACTACACAAACACTGCATTGTATACACACTGCATTATATACACAGTGTGTTTGTGTAGTATGTGTGTGTATATAATGCAGTGTGTAGTGTGTTTGTGTAGTGTGCATTATATAAACACACTACACAAACACACTATACAAACACACTGCATTATATACACAGTGTGTTTGTGTAGTGTATGTGTATATAATGGAGTGTGTGTGTGAGGGGGGGCATTTTTTATTACATTTTTTTTTATATATATATTTAATATTTATTTTTGTTGTCCCCCCCTCCCTGTTTCATACTTGGCCAGGGAGGGGGGATATGACCATCCCTGGTGGTCCAGTGGTATTGGCTGAGCTGGGGGGAGCGGGCATCAAGCGCTTACTCACCTCCCAGCAGCTCCTCCAGCTCCCCAGTGTAACTCTCGCGGCCAGCGTGTCGCGCGGAGCGTTGCCATGGTGACCCATGGCAACGCTCGGACGGCCGCGGGTCTCGCAAGAGTTGCACTGGGGAGCTGGAGGAGCTGCTGGGAGGTGAGTAAGCGCTTGATGCCCGCTCCCCCCCAGGACCGCCGGGCTTGTAATGAGCCTGGCGGTCCTAGGAGGTATTATCGGCAATATCGGTATCTAAAACCGATAATCGGTCGATCCCTAATATTTAGACAAATGGAGGTAATTTAGTTGCTCCAATGGCCATTGGAGGGAATGCCCGCCTGCCAACGTCAAGGCAGACCCCCCCAAGTGGGTCTTAACACACCCTTCAGCCTGCTTCCTTGAGCCTGCTTCCTTGAGCTTCTGGCAAAGATATCTCTAATGAGACTGATGTGTACTGTAGTCATTGCTGCCGGCCCAATAGTGATGGGGGTGAGTGCAGGACTTCTCTTTTTGTATTTGTATTTACTTTGTATTACACAGCCTTGCTACAATGCTGCCGCCCATCCCACGTGTTCCCTATTAAGGGTTACTAAGTATATAGGGGTGTATATAAAAAATACCCCTCTCTGTCTCATTAGAGATATCTTTGCCAGAAGCTCAAGGAAGCAGGCTGAAGGGTCAGTGTTAGGACCCACTTGGGGGAGTCTGCCTTGACGTTGGCAGTTGGGCCTTCCCTCCAATGGCCATTGGAGCAACTAAATGACCTCCATTTGTCTAAATATACATAGGGATTAAGGAGAGAGCGCAGGTAACTTTTTCTTTTCTTTGGTTTTTACTATATATTGGGGCTGATGTGTACTGTAGTCATTGCTGCTGGCCCAGTAGTGATGGGAGTGAGCACAGGACTTCTCTTTTTGTATTTGTATCTACCTTAAATAGTATTGAATAGAGTATTGAATAGAGGGAGAGGAGGGTGGGCCAGAAGTACGTCAGGACCAGTAGGTAAGTTAGATAGGAGGGGAGTCCCTTTTAAAGGGACATAGCACCTCCCACAACTTCAGGTCCCGCCTTCCAATTTGTGTTCGGGGCCATTGTATGAAATAGCTACCGAGTATACTTATCACAACAATGAAAAGTCGGTAGAGGTGTGCCAAACCGACGTGTGTGGTAGGCCTGTAAATAAGTGGGCAAAAAGTAATACCCATATAGTGTAATCAAAGATGTTTATTATGAAAACACAAGACATGGAGTTAGCGTATTACGGTGACCTTTCACAAATGCATTCCTTAATTCCTGTGTCAGCTGAGATATACGTTGTTGGTGGGGTAGTACTGAATAAGTACCTCATGACCCCTCGGCTGGTCTTTAGTTGATGGTAAGTTAATACGTAGTGATCCTGTATTTGTACAGGTTAGAATACCGTAGGCAAAGCTTGGAATTGTGTTGCCCTAAGATGGTAAATTCTATGATCGTGGGAAACATAAAAGCCAAGTATATGGCGGTTTTGAAAACGGTGTGTGTAACTGAGAACATGTGGTGTTGAATGCCCGGGAGATATAACTTAATAGTGTTGTGTGACATTATTTGATGTGGCAAAAAGTGGCAAAAGTCCCCAACGTTGTATTTTTGAACCAGTTTGAAAGGTGGTGATCTGACCCGAACTTTGATATATGCAGTAAGCTCTGTCATAGCAGTGTGCGTATTCTTTGAGGGCCAACTGTGTGAATTCCTGCTGTGACTTAGCAACTCTTCTATTCCATCGGTATTCTGGGAACTGGGAGCTGGGAAGCTATCGTGGCTATTGGTGAGGCAGTTGTTAGGGACCTCCTGAACCCCTGAAACGGAAGACTAGATAACTGGTCAGCAGCAGTATTGTAAATGCCTGGTACGTGGTAACATACCAGCTAAAATTTGTGACAGGCTTCGCCTACGTTAGTTGTCTGATGAATTCATAATAAGGGATACAAGACCGGACTTGTTTATGACGTGGCCAATTGACAAATTGTCCGAGACCTCGAACCGGTCTGCTTGCCCATGAATGACCCCATGTTACTGCTACGGCTACAATGGATATACCTTGAAGCGTGCAGAGTTCTTAAGGAACCCTTCGATCTAGCTTACTTCCCGGCCACCTACCCCATGCCAACTGTCCCCTGCGATTGCACTATGCAGCAAGCCCTGTGTAAGCCGCTGCATTGGGGTGACTAAATGTAGATGACCCTAGTTTAAAGACATATATATGTATATGGAAGAGACACCTACATAGATTGTGCTTAGGTAAGTTCCCTGCTGGGCAGCCTTCCGCTAGAAGAACCTGAAATATATATGAAGTATGTGGGACATTTCTAGTTTACCAGCGGGAACTAATATTGGAGAACGCGTAAGTGTCTGTGACTGGAGTTGTAAGTGCCGAAAAAGGCCGTATAGGGAGGATTTGAGTGGTCTAACGTGACCATGGTTGTATGTAATTACCCACCTGTGGGCCGAAATTGAGTCGTAGTGGATTGCTCGCAGTGGGTCGTATGTAACGTGAGAGTGATGGCCTAGTGAGGGCCACATGTAGAGACATGCTGTGGTAGGTTGAGACAAAATTGTAATTCCTATGCTGTATGTTATAGCCCAAATGAGGGGCTGCCATTATGCTATAGTGGATAGCCCTTTGGTGGGTCATATGTTACGTATAAAGAGTGTGGTTGTGTAACGAGAATATACCCCTACACGCAGGATCCAGCTAAACAGAGGCAAATACAGAGGAGAGATACGTCTACCGGACCTTAGAATGGCCGGACTCGACGTATATGAGAGGAGACAGAGCCAGGAACAAACCGAGGTCAAGGGCACAGAGAGACAGCGTAAACTAGGACAAGCCGGGTCTGGTACACGGAAAACAGCAAGCCGGCAAACAGTACAGATAAGGATAAAGCGAAAACGAAGTCAGAATACGAAGCCAAAGTCAATACAAGAAAACACAACTGAACACCACAAGCGCTAAAGGGAACTGAAACAGAAACCACGATAGGGCAACGAGCTAAGGGAAAAAGGTAAGTTTAAATAGCTTTAAAACGAAAGTGATTGGCTCCTGTCACTTCCACACCCCCTATAGGTAATTGTACAGGGAGAGTGGTATGACAGGAGCCAATGGGAGCCTTTTGGCAATTAGGCTCCCACTGTCTCTTTAAGAGCGCGCCCGAGACTCGCGGCGCGCTCTTAGTTACAGGCGGGACACGTGACCGCTTCACGCGGTCACTGCCCGCCTTCCATCTAAAGCAGTCGGATGAGCCGCGCGCGGCTCGTGCAGCCGCAGGACCGCGCGCGGCTTGAAGAGAGGACCGCGACCGCCCCCCGGTTAAGGTAAGTAACGCTACAGTACCCCCCCCTGAGGACACGCCCTCCGGGCGGGTAGGACCAGGCCTGGCAGGAAAACGAGAATGGAAAGAGCGCACAAGACGGGGAGCATGAACAGCATCAGCCGAAATCCAACTGT